GTACTTGCTGGAAGAGTTCTTGGGTACTTGCTCTTCATTGCATGGCTGAACCATGAACAGTTCTATCAATGTCATGTGCACACCTGCAGACTTGTTTGTTTTTAATAGACCAGGTCTGTCCATGTGATATGAAGTTTCTTTGAAGTGGTGTTCATCTTTTGGCACAATTTGGTCTTCTATACATGTCTAATTATTTCTAGTATGACTTTGAATCTGTCTTTGTGTTTATTTGAACAATCGTGTTCTCTGCTACTGATGTAAGGTACAAACATAGCAGCTTACAGATACCTGGGAGAGCAGGAGTTGTATGACCTGTCACTGAATGCCTTGTTTAATCATACCATTTTTTAATATGCAGTCTTTAATCACTTTCAGGATTTGTTTAGCATTTTTATATAGAAATATCTGATTCAACAGATTTCCAGCTGCTTCTGATTCCATGATCAAGATGAAATTCATATTTGTATGGAGATTGTTTACTTTCTTAAGCATATTAAAGAAATTACAGCTTTTGAATTAAAAAAAAACCACAACAGACAAGAAAAAACCCAACACAACCCCCCCCCCAAAAAAAAAAAAAAAAGCAGCTCCATTTTGGGAGGTTCACCTCGCTTATTCACTGCAGGCAAGTTCCAAAGAGGCTGTCTGGTACGAGCAGCTAGTTCCAGCGGCACCCATAACCAAAACCCCCCCCCCCCCCCCAAAAAAAAAAACAAAACCAAACCCAGATCCTGTCATTTACATGATATTTCTATTTGTATGTGTAACATTTCAAGTGATCTCGATAAGGTGTGTTTTTATTTTCCCCTGTGTTCACAGGATCATAGACTTCTCGAGAAGTCCTTTCCCCAAACATGGTCTTCTGCCTAAACCATTCCTGACAGATATTTGTCTAATCTACTCTTAACAGCTCCTGAGGATGAAGATACTTTACCTCCCTAAGCATTTTATCCTCTGTGTGTGTGACCAGGCCCTACTACAGAAGGATATTCTGATGTCTAACCTAAATCTCCTTAGCTGCGATTTATACCCAGTATTTAACTCCAGGTAGACTTAGAAGACAGTTTGTTCCATTTTCTTTGGGGTGGCTGTTTACATTATTTGAAGGCTGTATTTTGTCTGCTCTCACCCACCCACGGGGAAATGACCCCATCGACTTGATTGTATAGTGGATTTTAGGGCACTTTACAGGCTTCTTTGGTTGCACCTATAAGTAGACCTATCTCTGGCCTTGGGTTGGTCCACTGTCTCGGACCTGTGAGTAGTTCCACAGGTTTTTAATGAAGAACATACAGACATGCATGCTTAGTGTGGTATAACGTTACCCAGTGAAGAAAGGAGGATGAAAGAAACATTGTGACAAATAATAGTGCACAAAAGGCGCCTTAGCAAACAGAACAGAGAAATCTCATGGGGTTTTAGAGGTGAAAAAAGGGAGTTTTGGACAATACAGCTAGTAGCCTCTCAGAACTGTATGAAAGCTTAGAACCTAAGAAGGTGAGATAAAATAAATGGAGAACACTGGTATGTGGGAATCACAGTCTATTGCTGATAGAATTGCCATTGGTGAGCTTTGAAAAAACAAAAGAGAGAGAAGTGAGAATGATGAGAGCATGGATGCGTGGGTCATAGAATCATAGGATGGAAAACACCTCTAAGATCATCAAGTCCAACCATCTACCCAACACCACCATGCCTGCTAAACCATATCCCAAAGTGTCACATCTATACGTTTTTTGAACACCTCCAGGGATGGTGACTCCACGACTTCCCTGGGCAACCTATTCCAATGCCTGACCACTCTCTCAGTAAAGAAATTTTTCCTAATATCTAATCTAAACC